TAGATTATTCCCAATCACCGCAGTACTTCATTTACTTAGAATTCATTTAAGCTGGATTGTCAATACCTATACATTTGGCTATTGTTAATTTAAACTGTGTTTTAATTCCCATTTGTATATGCCCCTCCCAACTACGGATAATATATGTGTAATGAAAGCTCTAGGACAGTGGTCGCCAACTGGTGGGCTGTGGCCCACTGGTGAGCCATGAGAAAATTTTGGTGGGCCACAGAGAAATCTCACCCCCAGAGCACCCCCACAAAGCAATTAATCCAGGCTGTGCAGAAACACAAGGCTGCGCCGCCCACATGGCCCGCAGGAACTCTCCCCGCCCATTCACTCCTTACCTGGTAAACTTGCCTGCTAAATTGCTATTTTTCCTTTTCTCGACCATCATCTGTTCTGCTGTGGTGGGAGATTTAGATTAGCTAGAAGCAGGAAATGGCTGGAGTTCTTGCTTTCTAGCAAGTCTTTAGATCTTCAGCTCAGCACAGCCGAACCTTCCTTAGGACTGAAGTTTTGCTTGCAAGCAAATTCAGTGCAGACTCACGGCAAGCAAATTTGAGAGACTGAGCTAGCCGATGGCAGATAGATAGATCACTGAATGATTCTGTGAGCAACTCAATCTGCCTGTCTGCTTTGCCTGATTTTGGGTAAAAGTTGCTCATTTTTTATAAAAATCAATATTTATATAAATTTATAATATTTACATACAAGCCATGCCCAGCCAGTCACATGACCACCAAGCCATACCCACAAATTAGGCCACACCCACAGAACCAGTTAGTGGTCCCTGGGATCTAAAATTATGAGTTTGGTGGTCCCTGAGGTCCAAAAGGTTGGCGACCCCTGCTCTAGGAGACTACCATCACACCAGATGTGTTGGTTTTTGAGATGCTTCAGGGCTCTCAGCTGTTTCTTTCAATAACAGACCAGCTCAACTACCCTTTTAGAAATCCTAGGCAATTTGCACATGGAAGCAAACTAACAGAAGTCAATGGGGTTTGCTCCTTAGATGCCTTTTTTTTGTTCTTGATGAGAAATAACTTCCATAAACTCTGTGAGGACATTTTTGAAAAACAATAGTAAATAGACTGCTCCTGTGGTGGAATAAAACTGCTGTTATCTGAAATTTCCCTTGTACCTTTTACCCTGGTAAGTTATTTCTCCTTCATTATTCCCAACAGAAACAGGAAGTCATTGGTCTTTAATTTGTTACATTCATTCCACCAGGAGCTAGTCACAGAGAAATCACAATCTGCTTTTATTTTTATACAGCCATCTGCAGCTTTATTTACTGATGCTCCCCGTAAGAAGAGCTTTTACTATATAGTGCTAAAAATACTATAGATACTTTTAACCTATTTATATTTTCATGCATGCTTGTAAAAATCAGCTGGTAACATTGCCTAATCTTTTGGCCAGGTTCAAGTGCATTAAAAAATTAAGAAAATTTAATACTGAATAAAGGGCTATGAAAATTCACTACCAATGTTATATGATCAAATAAAATATCCTTATTGCTGAGTCACCAGTAGAAACAAATCTGGAGCAAAAACTGGATTCTCAGAGAACTTCAAATCGTACATACTTCCTCACATAGCCTATTTCTCACTTTTGGTTTTGGGAGGGTGGGTACTTCAAGTCAGTGTTGTCTCTTGGCAACTGCCTGAACAGGTTTCCTCAGTTTTCTTGGTGAAATTTTTGGGAAATGTTTTGCCCAACACCATTCAATTGGCTTCTGTAACTAAGGCTGGGCTACACCTTCATTTTTATAAGCAATGACTCTGTGATAGACCAGATTTAATCAATGAGTAGAAAACAAAACATCCTAAAAACCAGTCTTGTGAACATCAATTTGGTTCCTGCATTATATGTCTTATTGGACTAATGTAATCCATTTAAAACTCAATTTATTCCATTTACATGCATTTCTAGTCAACTGATGGCCTGAAACGTTCTTAAAAGCTTCAGCTGCCTTGTTCAAAAGGAAGTAGTCTGCTTTCTGTTCTGTTCCACCTCCAATATTTTATCTGAATTGCTGTTTGCCTGTTCTGCCTCAGTTCCATTTGGCCACAAGCCATCTGAAAACATATGATTTCAGCAGGAAACTCTAAGTCAACTGACAAAAAAAGATACAATTATCTACTATTTCAGGATGCATTTTAACCATGCAAGGCCCATCAACAGTTTTGCTTTAATTTGGCTGCTACTGAAAACAATTGTGAGACACCTTTACCTTTTTGCTATGCAATGCATCGAAGTGTGATTTAGGCATAGTATGAATGAACATTGGCCAATGTTATTTATTTAGTAAACTATGGTTAACCAAACTCTGTCTTAAAATAGATCCAGTCTGCATCCAAATCTTACCTTTTCAAAGATGTCATTACTGTAAGAATGTTTAGATATAAGGTACTCCTCGGCTTGCAGCCATAATTGAGACCAGAACTATGGTCATAAGTCATGCAGGTGGTTAAGCAAGTCATCACATGACTGACCAATTTCATGACATTTTTTTCTGCAATGATCATTAAAGGAATCACTGTTATAAAACGAATGCCACAGTCATTTTTGCTGAAACTCTCAATGAATGAATGAAATTTGTTTCCTACCTCACAGTTCAGAAACTTTGAGTGGTTTATATCAAATTAACAAAAAAATCCAACAATTATAAATATAAAAATGCATTAAAATTACCACAATTAAAACAAGCTAAAAACAAGAGTTTGGAAGGAAAAGACAGGCTGCCTTCTGTGTTAGTGTACAATCACCTTCATCTAGCAGCTTCTCCCAAGGACCCCATGCCAGTTGATAAAGCCAGGTTTAAAGGCTTTTTCTGAAGGCTAAAAATTTCTGACAAAAAACTCTGTAAATTGTGGCCATGTGACCACAGGGTGCTGTAAACAGGCTGGTTGCCAAGCACCCAAAATGCAGTCATAACTGTGGGAATGGCAGCTACTGGAACATCAAATCCTAGTCATAAGTATCTTTTTTGGGTAAGCTGATGCTAAGCAACTAGTCATAAGTCAACTGAAACAAATAATTTTGCCTGGGTCATTGGATATCAGCAAGGTTACTTGATTTAATCCAATTTTTACTCTCCTTTTAAATTTCAATTTTATTTGTGTTATTTATTTTTTTGCATCACATATAGCGTTTGAGAGCCAATTTTGTGGAGTGGTTAAAGTCACTGGGCAAGCTACCAGGAGACTGTGAGTGTTAATCCTGCCTTAAGCCTAAAGTCAACCAGGTGACCTTGGGCCTAGTCGCTTCTTGTGAGCCTTAAGAAGAAGGAAGGGCAAACCACTTCCAAAAATATTGACAAGGAAATTGCATAGACTTGTCCTAGTAGACATTAGGAGTTGAGACTGACCTGAAGGAATGATGACAACAAAATAATACACTGTAAATTGCTAATTTATATCATATAGTTATTCTTAATTTGACATTTATACTTTTATTTTTTTATTAATGTTGTTGTTGTAATTATTGGTTAATCTTTCCGTGGTGGTGGTTATTATTATTATTTTCTTTTATTTATACTACTGGTGTTATTATATAACTACAATATTATTTTTATTCTTTAATCAGGCAAAAACATACACTTTCAACTCCCCCTCAGTACCTGGAAGTTAAACCTTGAGGAATTCTACAGACATCCTTGTATACAAGAGGATAAAGAAGTGCATACCTTATCTCAATAGCACATTTTGGAATTGAGTTGTCTAAGAAGCCAGAAATGGAAAAGAGCAAGCCGACTTCAACAACCTCCTTCCATTGTTACATCTCTGCTCTAGTGCCTGAGAATGGGCTGAAGTCTCATGGGATTGCTCAATACAGCTGAGGAACCAAGACCAAGTCCTGAATAAACATTGTTTCCTTTGGTCATTCCCTTCCTCCAATACTGGATTTTCCTGTCTGGCTCAAATAAATGTGTGAAAGTCAAGCAGCAGTATCAGTGATCTTGATACACTGGTTTCTCAGGCTACAGAGATTATGACAGCTTGACAAACTAACTGATCTGCAAGCCACATCCAATCTTGTTTTGGGTGTAATGGGTGACAGTCTGCACCATCACTGCCCCAGTGAGGAGCCTGCATATAATGAAAAGGGGGTCTACACAAGCCTAGTGACTAGACTACATCATTTGCAGTCAGACAATGATTACACTTAGCTTTTTAAGGATTGACTAGTCCCAAGGGAGCAGAAGAAGAGAAAGATACAAGAGACAATAGGAGAACATTCCCAATCCTATGTAAGTTAAAGCACACAATTGCTTTTCTTTGCAAAAGGCACGCATAATACAGTGCTTGGTATTATGTGCTTGTTATTATGCATTTGTACTCAAGCGCTGCTTATGTGACACCATCCAAATATTAGCAAAAGGAAGCTAGATTCTTCAAGCAGCATGCTCTTTCCAAGAGCACAATCCTTTAGCACAACCAATGTAAGATGGTCATTGGCATCATACTGCTAGTTATGTAGTGGGCAACAGTACCAGGCAGAAATTCCTTCAGTAACTTTCTCAAAAAAAATTGTATTTAAAATCGGGTAGAATCCCTGATTACCTTGTTTGTTTAGCCTTTATTTGCTATAGAGGTTGTTCCTTCCCAATGCTATTTCTTAAATAGTTCCTCCCTACTCTTTCATCTACTGTTTTTTTTAAGACACTTTTCACCTTGTACCCTTAGATATTCTTCCTCCTGGAATAATGTCTTTTAAAGTATTTTCATTTTCCTTACCATAGTTGTTTGGGTTTTTTGCATCCAAAAATAGTTTTTTTTACTAGTAATTTAACAAAGCAGCGTGATGAATATTCAGTATGAGAAGACAGAATTATTGTGAACCTTCTTCTTCCTATATATATATAAATGTCAATTTTACCCATCAAATAAGATTGCTTGAAATTACTGTAGCTGGTTCACCCACAATTTTTAAGACTAGTTGTGAACACAAGGCAAACCAATCTGTTAATTGTACAGAATGTTTCCACTTACACCGCCCATCGTAATTCCATCAATAAGTGCCACATAAGGTTTCTTGCAGGTACCTGTTAAAAATTATACAACACGTTATCCTACTTAAAATATTAGAATGCACACTTATCTAAAGAAATACATCTTTATAATGTGAACAAAATGTTCAAAGGGGGAAGTTTAAAAAATTCAATCCTTTTTTTTCATCATTAAGAGCATTTTAAAATATATTTTTATATTTAAGATGCTAGGTTTTTTTCCATTGTTAATGCTGTTTTGGGAGGAAAAACCAGCTGTTCATTTAACCTGACTACAATAGTCACCTTGTAAAACATAGCAGACACCAAAACGGAAAAAAAAGCTGGCAGTACCACAATTAATAATCAGATTAAGATCTGCAGGAATGGTGCATAAAGAAATGCTTATTTGTTCATTGTCTAAAGAAAAACATATTAAATGTCAGATAGGTCTCAGCAAGGAGAACATTCCGTAATCAGAGTTTTACATTTTAAATGTGGAAATACCATTCTTGGAGTAACTTAAGAAAAAATGAAAAACCAAATAAACAAGAACGTTGCAATATCCCATCTTTAATGTTTTTTACTAGCTTTACTTATATAGTATGCAATATAACCATGAAATGGGGACACTCTTAGCAGGAACTGTAGGTAAATACTACTAAGCATATATTCAAATAATATAAATAATATAAATTTTGCACTCAGTCTTTATCTTCTGGGATGTGATGTTAAAATGATCTAAGAAAATCATCTGAAAACCCTTTCATAAAGTTTCATTCTTGTGTGCTGTGCTTCTTTAAATGAACAGCTTTCACTCCTAAATATGGAAAAGAGTTCCCCATCAAAGATACCAGGCAGAACAGGCTTTATTGGCTTACACAATAAATATCTATTATCTTGAAACAGAATTTTCACTGCAGAGATCAAGTCAAAAAGAAGTTATTAAAGAGATACTATAAAAAGTACACATACCAGTGGCATTGTTCAATATGTATTCTTCTCTAAAAAAATCTTTTGTTAATCTGTCGCCATGTTTTCCTGCTTCACTGATAGCTAATAAACAAAACAAATGTCAAACTTAATGATGACAACATTTAATATCGTAAAATATTCCTCATCTTTTCTTTCTGTCCGGCTTCCATAACTTCTTTCACAAGTTAGCACATTCTGTTAACTATGGTGAACTAGGATAGAGAGTGGATCATCCAAAAACAATTGAGGCCTGAGGAAATGAAGTCCTTTCAGGTTCAAAGATAAGGAGTTCATGTCAATAGACCATCCTAGTATTAGCACTCAATGGAGGGAAGGAAGATATTTCCTTGGATTCAAAACCAAGGACAAAGCCCTGAACTTCATAAAAAAATGTTCACATGCTCACCTTTTATATCACCTCCAGCACAGAACACTTTTTCACCAGCTCCCTTTATTAATATTAGGTAAGTTTCAGGATCCTGCTCCCACTTCTGAAAGAAATAGTGGGAAAGACTATGTCAGAGCATTAGACTTTTTAAATATTCTGCCCCTTTTCTTTGAAATTATGCAACATTTATAAAAATCACCTAGATCAGGGTTGGATTGTCGAGAAAGAATAGAAAGCCAAAGCATTAAACCTGTTTGTAGCAGAACAATGTCTGTTGTCAGCCTCACTCAAGTAGACCAGCCCAGGAAATCAACTCCACTAGAAAGCTAAAACTACTGGCTATAATAACAGAATCTTACAAGAATGATTGTGCTGTACCCATACCTGGATTTTATAATCCAGTAAAGCAGAAAGGTGTCTATCTGACCCTACCAAATTTTATCTCAATTCTCAGTCTCAAAAAAAAAACCCAGTTCTTTTTGCCTAGGTAATTGTTCCTGCATATTTGCATCTTGAGCATCCTGACTCTATACACCACCCTTGGATTCCCAACCTCTTCATTTACAGGATGAGAAATTGTAATTCAGCAATATATGGAACTCACAATTTTCTACCCTATCACAGAGTCCTTTTTGAAAGTCGGTCAAATCTATTCGTAATCCCAGATAAAAACGTGTAAGTTTAAACATTGGGGATAGAGTGTATCAAGCTGAAACCTTATAAATACTGGAGCTCTACTTATTGAATGATGGCCAAGGAGAGGCAACGGTATTCTTCTGTTACTGGCCCCACCCTTTGAAACACCATCCCATTTGATATTAGAGTGGGACTGACCCCATACAACTTTTGGAAAGCTTTTAAGACCTGGCTGTTCTGGGCATGGAGATCAGGAAGTGAGGTACGCCCCTGAGATAATTAGTGTTGGATGATTTATTCCTGGTTGTAATTTTTCCTTTTGTTTGGTTTTCTTATTTTATGATATACGTTTCTTATTTGTTATTTATTTAGTTATTTGGAAGTGTGTTACTCACCAGTGCCATTTGCAAGATGAACCACCATGTAAATCAAATCAAAGTAAGTAACACAGAAAATTGAGATAAGTTTTTTCCTTCTTACAATATCCATTAGATCACCATCTGTCTTCACCCTTTTTCCAGTATACAAGCCAGCATGCAAGAGGTATAAACCATCATGATATTTACATCTTTTCTTTACAAAAAAAGCTGGTAAGAAATAGAACCCACTATGAAGGCTCAAACGAAGCTTTGCTCTGAACAGAGCATCCATACAAACAAGGAGAAATATATACTGTTTCCATTTCTCCCCATCTCATGGACTCCTCATTTTTCTGAAGAGAGCAGAGAAGGATACCAAAGGAGAAAGTTGAAGATGCTCTTGCAGTCAATGTATTTTATCATAAGACTTGACATCATTATTATACTCTCAAGCCATGCCATGAATGTCCTACTGAAGACCTGTACACAAACAGAACCTTTATTTCTCTTCAAAGCAATGCTTCTCAACAGAATCTATTTACAAAGTGTACTGAGAAATCAATGTCAGCTTGACTAGAAGCAGGGGTGGGATTCAATTTTTTCAATAACTGGTTCTGTAGGCGTGGCTTAGGTGGTGGGTGTGGCTTGGTGATGTGACTGGGTGGACATGGCTTGGTGGTCATGTTATTGGTTGAATGTAGCCAACTCAATATCATTCACATAGAGGCACGCATCTCCTCACCTGACCTTTCATGACTGTGGGAATGCTGCAGCAGTCGTAAGTGTGAAAAATGGTCATAAGTCACTTTCTTCAGTGCCATTGTAACTTTGAATGGTTACTCCACACAAGCAAAGTACCAGCAAAAGAGGGGGGAAAAACTCCAGAGACGTTCCTGAGACAGGAAGTCTAGTCCTGCCAAGAAGGTAATAAAGGTTAACGGAGAGGCAGTTTCTGTAAGCAACACCAGAATGTTTCCTTCCTATCTTCCTTACAGGATTAGGCCAGTAATTTCTTCTAACAACCGGTTCTCCGAACTGCTTAGAATGGTAACAACTGGTTCTACCAAATAGGTGCGAACTGGTAGACCCTGACTAGAAGTGCCATCTCTGTTTAGCTAGTCTCATATGTCTTCTGTCAACCCATTCATCAATTGCTTTACAGGAAGACTTTAACTTACAACAGTTCATTTAGTGATCATTCAAAGTTACAATGGCACTGAAAAAAGTGACCATTTTTCACACTTATGACCTTTGTAGCATCCCCATGATGATGTCATCAAAATGCAGATGCTTGGCAACTGACTCATACTTATGATTGTTGCCGTGTACCAAAGTCATGTTGTGACCATCTGAGAATCCAAGTCAATGGGGAAGCCAGGTTCATTTAACAACCATGTTACTAGCTTCACAGCTGCAATGATTCATTTAACCACTATGGCAAGAAAGATTGCAAAATGGGGCAAAACTCATTTAACAAACATCTCACTTAACAACATAAATTTTGGGCTCAATGGTGGCCGTCAGTCAAGGACTACTTGTATTTAAAACACTTTGGTATTGTGATAACCTTAGTTTCATATAACGCCACCAACCTTTAACTGGGGATAGATCTGTTGAATCATGGAAAGAGTAAGTGCATTCAGAGCTTTTGGTCTGTTCATGGTAATAATGCCAGCACACCCTCTTTTTTCGAAGAGAACTTCAGCTGAAGGATCCTTCGTCATACTCTGTAAAGAATGACAAAGATTTTAATTAAGCTGATGCTCCAATGACAGTTTGGTTGGCAATTCTATATAATCTGCAATTCTGCAGAAGATATTAAAAACATAATTAGTATGTACTAAAAATGGCTATTTTTAAGATAAGTACTTTGAACAGAAAACTACAGAAGTACCCAATACTGACTATAAGAACCTCCACCAATTTTGAACAGAATACTCCAGACATAGAACTCTTTCTTACATTCCTTATAATACCTTTGGTTAGCCCTTGTTCTTAATCTTTCATTCTAACCATATTATTTAACTATCTGATGTTCTTCAGATTTTACCCTTATCCTGTCTTGAAACGGAAGATTACCAGATTATAGTTTTGTCACAAACTTCCTTCATTTTCAAAACTATTTTTCCTTTTGCCTTGAGAGATTGCTATTTAAAAAACACAAATCAACAAACTCATTGGCACTGAGGAATTAGTCTGTGCATTCTGGCTATTGTATTTTAAACAAATATTTATTCACCCAACTTCCATACTTACTAAGTGTCGTAGTGTGATTTGCAACCTGCTAAATGGTTTCAATCTGAAACAAGAAACTCAAGGTCAGACATATCTCTGCCACAGCAAATGTAAATACATAAAGCAAATTATATTTTTTGTTAGACTTGTTTTTAGACATGTCTTTCAGTCTACTGCAAATTCCTCAAAATAAATCCATTTGATGCAGGGTTTTTTTTTCAATATACAGTACAAAGATTTTCTCCCTCTATTGCTCTGATACAAATATATAACTTCAAGAATACCGGCCAGACATATGGGACTTCACATGACTTTGGTACAGTTTTCTCCTAATGCTCTTTCTCTACTGTTTTCCTCTGAACATTGTAAGACCTGGGACTCAATAGAATGGCATAAAACACATGGGAAATATATTTGTACTAATTAATAAAGTCCATCCGTTGTTTTTAATTTTACATTTTTTTATCCTGTCTTTGTTATTTTTATTATTTTATACATATGCAAAGCCCAATTCTCTATCCTAATTTCCAAACAGCTGAACACTGATATTTTTGATTGTTTATTTCGTAGCAGAAAATTAATTGTCCCTGCCCTTGGATGCAGGGCAAGCTCCAGTGGTCTCAGATCACTCCTTAGTCCCACAATGCGAATTCAGTTGATAAATCAAAATGTTTGCCCTTACAGTTCAAGCTTGCTTACAACTAGGAACACCGATTCAAGCATTTATTGTCATGTGCAGTGCAATGCCATGCGTGAGAAGATTTCGACCGTTTTGGTGCTCAAAATCGGCGAAGTATCTTTGGCTTGCTTGTAGCGCGTTATCCATGAGAGGAGGGAGCAAGTGAAATCTACGGTAGGGATGCCCAGCTGACACCGTCTCTCCGGGGTTTCATGCGTGGCGATACACGCAACATGCGAATCGAGCTTATTCAACACGGCAGAGTTCAACTATCAGAACTCAGTGGGACTTTTAAGTAAATCCCCGGGGACAGCGGGACCGCTCAGAGCAAACGGAGGAGAAGGAGGGCTGTGTTGGGCATTCCTTCAATCCCCCTACTCCATCCTACTAAGGTGGCCGAAACTGAAGGTAGCCTTCCCCCTTCGGTCGTCGGAATCTACCTGGGAAGACACTTCCGCATCACAGGGGTCACCAGCAGCCCCATCACGCCACCTTCTGCTCACGCCGTCCCCCCCCCCCCCGCCCGAACAAGGAGCCGCTTTGAAGGCGCGCCCTGATGACGTCATTCAAACGCGCTGGAAGGCAGAGCGCCCGCTGCCGCCTAGCACGTGGCCCAGAAGCGAAGCGGTGGCAAGATCTCGTAGTCTGATCAAAAATATCGAGATTTGGATGAATTCTCCTGGCGCAGAAATCTCTCACAGAGCATAACTTTGCTATGCACTCCACGTTTCACATTAAGGATGGAGAACAAGAGGCAGCCAACAATTATGCATCGCTGGCCGTATGGCGGTGACAGTTCTGAGTTGACAGCCAAACATCCCTCACCTGTTACAGTTATTCATCTGTGCTTTTAGCGGTTCCAATAATGCATTTCAGGAAATGGGCATTTCGTATCACTCTCAGCCTTAGGGAAAAGCAAGCAAGAGTAAACCACTTCCTAAAAACTTTACCAAACAACAAGTAGGAACTGGTAGGTAAGCAGTTTCCAAGAGTCAGTACTGACTTGAAGAGACTAAAAAGAAATTTATTTGGCAGAGGAAAGGGGCAGCTGGTACGATCAGGTCACCGATACATCCGATAGAAATCTGGATCTTGCCCATATTTTATTTATTCTATTTATTTATTTTATTTGTCAATCGCTTACAAGATAATAAGTACAAGTATAAACATAGTTATGAAGACATGAAATGGATACATATAAGAAAAATAAAAAGAAACAATAGGACAGGGACGGTACGCATGTTGGTGCGCTTATGCATGCCCCCTATTCCTCAGTGTTGGTTTTCCTGCTCTGGAGGTGTGGAGCAGCGGTAGATAGGAGGCAGACACAGAGCTAACAGCGAAAGGCTTTATTCGGTGAATAAAGGGTTGCCGTGGCTGCCGTGGCTAACAGGCAGTCAGCTGGCAGCAACAGCTGATGCCGTTTGACAGCTCCTTTTATAGCCGGCTGTCAAATGGCATCAAGCAATGGGAGAGATTGGCGCTCCCACCAGAAACGCGGACTGGATTGGGAACTGTCATCAGTCAGTGAATACTATACTCCTTTCCCCCGGCCAGGAGCATGCGTAGTTCTTTAGATAGGCCGGCCGCCTGCACTGGCGGCCAGATCGCCTTAGTCCGGGTGGATTTTCAGCCGGGAAGGAGTCCTTCTTCTGGGTCGTGCTGGAGCCTGCAGGAGCTGGAGTTTCGTCGATGAGCGCCTCTGCTATAGGACCAGGCGGCAGTCCAGGTAGGCTCCTTCACTCAGCTCGCTTTGGGAAAGTCTTAATGCGCGGTGGGTAGATCGGTTCACTCAGCGAGGAGGTCTCAGCTCTTGGTAGACCAGTTCGCTCGGCTGGAAGGTCTCGGCTCTTGGTGGGTAGACTGGTTCACTTGGCGGGCAGCGTGGATTGTCATCAGCCACTCTTCAATGCCTCCTCAGCTGGTCGATGTGCTGGTGCCTGGTACGACCGTCATCCAGGAGCATCCTGTAGGACTTAGGTCCCATTATAGCCATGACTTGCCCTGGCACCCATAAGGGATGGCCAGTGTAATTCCTTGCATAGACCAGGTCATGCAGGGGGAACTCCCTGGCCTGGCTGTCAGATGCCAAAGGGGTAACTGGGGTGTAATGGGGGTGCAGCCTATCCAGGGTGGTTCTAAGGCGTCTGCCCATTAGGAGCTCTGCAGGTGACTTATTGGTGGTGGTACAGGGGGTTGTGTGCTGGGTCAGTAGGTACCTGGAAAGTTTGGAGTGCCAGTCAAGTGGGCCAAACCTCTCCAGGGCCTCCTTTACTGACCTGACTGCCCTTTCAGCCATCCCGTTGCTAGCAGGGTGAAAAGGAGCTGTGAGAGTGTGCCTGATGCTCAGGTTGGCTGCAAAGACCTCAAATTCACACGAGGTGAACTGGGGACCATTGTCGGATACAAGGGTGTCTGGGAGGCCATGGGTGACAAATACTCTAGTTAGGGCTTTTGTGATAGCAAGAGTGGTTGTGGAGGGCAGCAGGACCAGGTCTATCCACTTTGAAAACGAATCCACAATGACTAGGAAAGTTCGCCCGTGCACAGGGCCTGCCAGATCAATGTGCAGCCGGGACCAAGGGGCCCCGGCGTCTTCCCACCTGGCAGGAGTAGATGATGGTAGAGCTGGCCTGGTAGCCAGGCATGGTTGGCACGTGCTTACCCAGCTGGAGATCTGGGCATCCATGCCTGGCCACCATTCGTAGCTGCGGGCCAGGGCCTTCATCCTGACGATGCCAGGGTGGCCTTCATGCAGGACCTTTAAGACTGGCCTTTGTAGTTTAGCAGTGATGACAACCCTTGTTCCCCACAGCAAACAACCCTGTAGGGATGACAGCTCCTGCTGGCGAGTCTTGAAAGGCAGGAATTCAGGGGTGTAATGAATTGCTGGCCACCCCCTCCCCACCCAGTCCAGGACTTGGGCGATTACCTTGTCCCTTGAGGAGTGAGCAGCAATGTCATGGGCAGTAATGGGCAGGTTGAGATCGTTGACCTCGAAGATAGCATGGATGGGTGCAGGATCTTCAACTGGAACAGGCAGAGGGCATTGACTGAGGGCATCTGCGTGGCACAGGTTCTTCCCCGGGCGATGAATCAGCGTGTAAGAATAAGCAGCCAGGAATAGGGTCCATCTGGTCATCCTTGGGGATAGAACCTGAGGGGTTTGTTTGTCCCCAGACAAAAGGCCTAACAGTGGCTTGTGATCTGTTATTAGTTCAAAATGGTGCCCAAAAAGAAATTCATGAAATTTTTTAACAGCAGCAACTGCAGCCAAAGCCTCTTTGTCAATTTGGCTGTAGTTTCGTTCTGCTGAAGAGAAGGTTCTTGAGAAAAAGGCAATTGGTGCCTCAGAGCCATTGGGCAGCCTGTGGCTCAGAACAGCCCCTATGCCAAAGGAGGAAGCGTCTGCAGCCAGGACTAAAGGTAGCTGCTGATTGAATTGAATTAATACTGCATTGGATGTGAGCAAGGACTTGACAGATTGGAAGGCATGGGCTTCCCTTGGTCCCCAATGCCAGGGGGATTGTTTGTCCAAAAGTCTGTGCAGAGGTTCTGCTATGGAGGCTTTATGTGGAAGGAATGCAGCATAGAAATTTAGAAGCCCTAAGAAGGCTTGAAGCTCGGTCTTGTTGGAAGGTGTGGGTGCCTCGTGGATAGCCCTGACTTTGGACTCAATTGGGTGTATACCAGAGGCGTCAATTCTATAACCTAAAAAGTCCACTTGCTTAGTGGCAATGGCGCACTTGTCCCTTTTAAGTTTAAGGCCATGCTGTCTGAAATGCTCAAGGACTGCTCTGACTCTATGTATTAGTTGTGGTTTATCCAGGCTGAAACCAAAATGTCAAAATAGGGGACTACGCCTGGGAGTCCTTGGAGAAGCCTCTCCATTAGGGATTGAAAAATCCCAGGGGCTACACTTACGCCAAACTGGAGGCGCTTGCACTTAAATGCACCCCTATGGGTGACTATGGTTTGTAATTCTGCAGTTTGGTCAACTACAGGGAACTGTTGGTAGGCCTGGGACATATCTAATTTTGCAAAAATAGTCCCAGGCTCAAACGAATGTAAGAGATGTTGGATGACAGGGACAGGGTAGGCGCTGATTTGTAGGAACCTATTCAGGGACGTCTTGTAATCAGCGCAGATTCTCATGCTGCCGTCTTTCTTAAGCGGGGTGATTATGGGGGTCTCCCATTTCGCAAAATCTACTGGTTCTAATACCCCTTGCTTTAGTAATTTATCTAGCTCCATATCTAATTTGGGGCGGGTAGCAAAGGGTACCCTACATGGTTTCAGACGGATGGGAGTTGCCTGTGGATCTACATTGAATGAAATAGGGGTACCAGAGTAACACCCTAAATCTTCGCTGAATACATCAGAATAGTCTTTGAATAGAGTATCTACTTCAGAGGTTGAAACAGCGTGGATACCGGTTATGCTGAGACCAAGAGCAGGGAACCAGTCTAATCCTAGCAAACTAGGGAGGGCACCATCTACCACTACTAAAGGCAAGTGGCCTTTGAAGTTTTTGAATTGGATTAAAAACTTGCCTTTCCCAAGGACAGGGATGGTCCTGCCTTGGTAATCATGCAGAGTCAGGTGGCAGTTCAGGAGCTTCTTCTTGGACATCCTTGGAAGCATCTTCTTTAGAGTTTCCCAGGAGATGATGGAAAGTGCAGAGCCTGTGTCAACTTCCATCTTGCAGGGCTTACCTTCTAAAAAAACAAAAATACTTATTTTGTTAGAGCCTGTTGTAGTATCATCTGAGTGGTAGCAGGTATAGCAGTCCTCAACTTGCCTTTGGAAAATAGGAGTAGGCTGAGGTCTTTGTGGAAAAGTTTTCCCTGCTTGGCAGACTCTAACTAGGTGGCCCTTTTTCTGACAGTTCAGGCAAATGGCATTCCTAAACCTGCAGGATGCCCTGAGATGGGTTCCCCCACAGCTTAGGCAGATGGGTTGCTGCCTGGGGATAAAGTTGGTTTTTTGTCTTGGTCCTTCTAGAGGGGGCTTCTGTTGTCTGAGGCGGTTTACCTCGATTGGATCCTCAGAATTCTCATCTAGGGAGACTTCCTCAAAATAAATAGTTGAGCTGCCTTGTCTGATGGGGTTCCCCTGTATTTCTGCTGCTGACAGAGCAGATAGCTCAGCAGCTTGTGATTCCTCAATGGCTATAGCTAGGCTCAAGTCTTTTTTTGCTAGCAATCATCTTTGAAGTCTCAGGTCTTTGACCCCACAGACAATTTGATCTAGGACCATATCCTCTAGGTAATCCCTGAAACCACATTGTAGCGCAGCTGATCGTAAGGCTGCCACATATTAACTGACTCCCCCTCAGACTGCATTCTCCTCCTGAAAGCATGCCTCCTAGCAATTTGGGATGGCTTAGGGGAGTAGTGACTGG